AAAATTAGAATTCACCACAGAGACCATCTAATCCATGACTTTTCTTTTTTGAGAGGTTTTTGATTACTGATTCTATCTCCTTACTCATTAGTCTGTTCACATTTTCTATTCATGATTTAGCCTTGGTAGGTTATATGTTTCTAAGAATGCATCAGTTTTTCCTAGGTTGTCCAATTTGTTGGTGTATAGCTGTTTGTAGTAGTCTCATTTTCCTTTGCATTTGTGGTATGACTTGTAATGTGTCCTCTTTCATTTCTGATCTTATTTTTTTTCTTGGTCTAGCTAAAGATTTGTCCATTTTGTTCATCTTTTTAATGAATCAACTCTCAGTTTTGTTAATTTTTCTTTTTTCCTATCTTTTATTTCTGCCTTATATTTAGTATTTATTTCTTCTACTAACTTAGGGCTTGTTTTTTTTTTTTCCTTGAAAGTTCACTGCTATAAACTCCCCTCTTAGAACTGCTTTTCCTGCATTCCATTGTTTTTCTTTTGCTGTGTTTCTATTTTTTTTGTATCTCAAGACTTTTTTTTTTTAATTTCCCCTTTGCTTTCTTCTTTGGTCCATTGGTTGGTCAGGAGTATGTTGTTTAACTCCCATGTATGAGAATTTTACAGCTTTCCTCCCATTCTTGATTTCTAGTTTCATACCATTGTGCCTGTAAAGGGTAGGTGATATAATTTGTTTACTTGAATTTGTTGAGACTTGTGGCCTGCCATATGATCTATCATAGAAAACATTTCATGTGTACTTGAGAAGAATGTGTATTCTACTGTTAGATGGAATGCTCTGTTTATGTCTGTTTGGTCCCTTTGGTCTATACTGTTGTTTAAATCTACTGTTTCCTGATTGATTCTGTCTGTACAATCTACCAATCACTGAAAATGGATATTAAAGTCCCCAACTATTACTGTATTGCTGTTTCTTTCTCCTTTTAGTTGTGTTGGCATTTGCTTTATGTATTCACATGTTTCAGTATTGGGTGAGTAAATATTTACGATTGTTATATCTTTTTAATGAATTGACCCTTTTTTTTTATCATTTTTTAAATTTATTTTCAGCATAACAGTATTCATTGTTTTTGTACCACACCCAGTGCTCCATGCAATCCATTCCCTCTCTAATACCCACTGCCTGGTTCCCCCCACCCCCCCCCCCCCCCCCACCTCTTCAAACCCTTCAGATTGTTTTTCAGAGTCCATAGTCTCTCATTGTTCACCTCCCCTTCCAATTTCCCCCAACTCCCTTCTCCTAACTCCCCATGTCCTCCATGCTATTTGTTATGCTCCACAAATAAGTGAAACCATATGATAATTGACTCTCTCTGCTTGACTTATTTCACTCAGCATAATCTCTTCCAGTCCCGTCCATGTTGCTACAAAAGTTGGGTATTCATCCTTTCTGATGGAGGCATAATACTCCATAGTGTATATGGACCACATCTTCCTTATCCATTCGTCCGTTGAAGGGCATCTTGGTTCTTTCCACAGTTTGGTGACTGTGGCCATTGCTGCTATAAACATTGGGGTACAGATGGCCCTTCTTTTCACTACATCTGTATCTTTGGGGTAAATACCCAGTAGTGCAATGGCAGGGTCATAGGGAAGTTCTATTTTTAATTTCTTGAGGAATCTCCACACTGTTCTCCAAAGAGGCTGCACCAACTTGCATTCCCACCAACAGTGTAAGAGGGTTCCCCTTTCTCCACATCCCCTCCAACACATGTTGTTTCCTGTCTTGCTAATTTCGGCCATTCTAACTGGTGTAAGGTGATATCTCAATGTGGTTTTAATTTGAATCTCCCTGATGGCTAGTGATGATGAACATTTTTTCATGTGTCTGATAGCCATTTGTATGTCTTCATTGGAGAAGTGTCTGTTCATATCTTCTGCCCATTTTTTGATATGATTATCTGTTTTGTGTGTGTTGAGTTTGAGGAGTTCTTTATAGATCCTGGATATCAATTTTGAATTGACCCTTTTTCATTATATAATGACCTTCTTTGTCTCTTGTGACCATTTTTAGCTTAAAGTCTATCTTGTCTCGTAACAAATATAGCTGTCTCTACTCTTTTTGGTTATCATTTGCTTGCCATATCTGTTTCTGTCTCTTCATTTTATATGTGTCCTTAAAACTAAAGTCTCTCGTAGACAGTATGTCATTTGGACCCTGGTTTTGTTTTGTTTTGTTTTTATATCCATTCAGCCTTTCTGTGTTTTTTGGCTGGTGAATTTAATCCATTTATATTAAAAGTAATTATTGATAAGTAAGTTGTTCTGTTCTGTTGAATTCTGCAGTTCTATTTTTAGCTGTAAGATTTCTGATTTTGATGGTTTCTCTTTCTTTGTTGTACTTCTCCTTTTGTTCATGGCATTGTTTTCCTATTTTCATGTATCTGTGTTTTCTTGTAGTTTATTAAAGTTCTTTAAGAGGATTATTCTGAATTCCTTTTCAGGCAATCTATAAATCTATTTTGTTAGGGTCACTTATTGAAGCTTTATTAGTTTCCTTTGGTGATGTTATGTTTACCTTTTTATTCATGATTCTTTGCATTGGTGTCTCTGCATTTGCTTAAGCAATCTCCTCTTTCACATTTTAAAAGTTCATTTCAGCATGGAAAGACCTTCACCAGTCACTAAAGTTTGGGAGTATTGGACAGGTCATCTGGTAGCCTCTGTGGGAAGGCAGGGCTTGCTCTTGGGGTTTCTAGTTGGGCAAGGCCATTGTCCATGCTCTGAGGTTGGGGGGAATGATGCTGGCTGGGCTCCACAGTTGGGTGGGCCTGCTGACTGGGCTCCATGTTCAAGCAGGATTAGTGGGCAACCATCTCCTTGTTTGGGTGGGGCTATTGATTGTGCTCTGCAGTCAGGTGGGGCCACTAGCTAGGCTCTGCCATCACCTCTGGTTGGTCAACGTCCTAGGCTGTGTTCCCTGGCAGGGTGGCACCACTGGATGAACTCCTTGATTGTACAGGACTGCAGGATGGGCTCTGCAATCACCCCTGGTTGTATGGGATCTCAGGTTGTGCTCCACAACCAGATGGTGCCACTGGCTGAAGTCTGTGTTTACACAGGGCCCACAGTTTATGCCCTGAAGTTGAATGGGGCATGCTCATCTTCCTGATCATGTAATCTATGGGCTGTGCTCACCTGGAAGGCAAGGTCATTGGCTGGATTTCCTTGTCTGGTGGGATCACAGGCAGTGCTCCTTGACTGGATGGGTTTACCAGCTTGGTTTCCTACCTGGGCAAGGCTATAGGCTGTTTTCAACAATTGGGCAGGGCCAGTATTCTGGGGTCCTCTGCTTACCAGGGTTGTAAAGTGAGCTCTACGACTGGATGAGACTGTAGGCTGGGCTGTGTCTCACAGTACAATAGGCTGTGCCCCCACGTTTCCCGGATCACTACTCAGGCTCCTTGGCTATATGGGCCCAGAGGCTATGCTGAACTGTTGTGCATGGCTGCTGGCTTGACTTCCTGACCAGGGCTATAGGATGAGCTCTGTGGCTACTCTAGTTCTCTGGCTGGGCCTCCTGGGTGGGCAGAGCTGGAGGCTATGTTCAGCACTAAGGTGGGGCTGGGAATTTGCGTCCCTTCTTGGGCAGGGTGGTAGAACAGGCTCCCCTACCAGTATGGCTCAGTGACTGGGGATCCAAATCAGGCAAAACCGCCAATCAAGTTCCCTAGCCAGAGAGGACCACTGGCTCAACTCTGCAGATGTCCAGAGCTGCTGGCTAGGATCTCTGCTCAGCAGTGTTGCTGCAAGCACGAATGCCATCTGCCAAGACCTGCTGTAAGCCCCATGCCCTTCTCCCTCTTTAGCTGATCCCCAGTGGTCAAGCCCTGCAGATTCTTCCACTGACCCCTATGAGGCAAGACATGAGTGGACTTCCTGCAAAGGGGCCCATGTGCTGGGGGAGCTAGATGTCTGCCTTGGGCTCTCTTTTCCCACTGTAGTAACCATCACTCCTGGGCGGAGGTGGTGGGGGGAAGCCCTCTCAATGTGGCACTGTAGGGGAAAGGCAGTGGGGTCAAAATGTCCAGTCCTCTTCTAATGTCGGATTTTCACACTGATGTTTCTATGGATAGTTGCCGGTTGGTCTTCTTGTGAGGGGTACTATAGTTGGGAATGACCTATATGGCCGTCTTAATGATATCATTCTCTCGTACATGCTTAACTTCAAGTAGGTTATACATTCATTAATGGACAGATAGATGATGTCTTATAATTTTGCCTCTGGTGCTTAGCTCCATGTTGGGAATGTGGCAGGTAAATAATAAATGTGTGGTAATTCTGTGATTGAACCCTGTAAGAAAATGAAGCATTATGGTATGAATTAGCTTCTGTGTAATGTATTTTCATCTTTTAAAAAAAGAATTGCTTTTCTTCCATGCATACCTGCATTTGGATTATGTGTTTTTTTTCCTACAAAATTTCCATTGTCAGTAATTCATGGTTATTGATTCATACTGTTTATTGGTAATAGCTCTGTGGGCTGCTTTGCTTCAGGGATAATTTAATTAGGGGTACTGCTGTTTGACACCATTCAGGAAAATGTTACACTGGAAAGGGTATTGGATTTGTCACAGAGTGACACTGAAGAGAAGCCAGGGATAGGCAAACTAATAACATGCTGCTTGGTTATTAAAATTGGGCCTTTCGTCATTTTGTTTAACATTTTTTGTTTATGTCACTGCCTTCCTAAGAAATGAGCATGTGACCAATTTGATGACTTTTATTTGGCGAGGGCAGAAACTAATGCTAGACAAACAAGGACATAGTAAGTCGATACAGATAGAGTCCGTGCTTTCAGAATGCTGTGTTTCTGTTCTCTGAAGTTAGATACCTATTTGTGATGAAGAATACATTTGTGTAGGGGGCAAGATTGGAATGCACTAAAATGAAATGCTCATGTTGACCACATCGGCTTTAATGGAACTTACTCGATGTAGTGACTCAATCTCTGTGAATCTGACTGTGTGTATGTGCTATGTTTTATACAGGGAGTCATCATCCAGGGACCTGCCAGAGACCACAAGAAAACATGGGGAAGAGTAAGTTTCTGCTTGCTTTTTAATAATTCATACTTTCCCCATGTTAATCTATGTATCCAGGAAATTAAATTTGCAATTCAAGAGTATTTTGTGGACATCTAAATTGTATTTCTGGTTAGTGTTAGAAAGTTACTGTCTGAAGCAGGGCAGTGCAGAGAAAAACCAACAGACCACATGCTGCTCATTGACTAGGGTCTTTTGTTTTCCTTCCTTCTGCTCTTTTTTGAACATCTCCCAGTAGAGGGAGAGAAGGCTCAAACTTGATATATATAGACCTGTCCTAATCCCAGCTTCTTTACAACTCTTAGCAAAGTTACCCATATGCTTCCAGTGGTTTCTAAGCCTTGTTGATAATTGACAGAAACAAAAAGATGATTCTGCTGTGCAGCCAGTGACAGTATTAAAAAATTCATCTGTGAGGTTGATTTATAAATGGTTTTGATTTCCCCTAAAATGTTAAAGCCTGGCATTTAAGAACCATTAGATGAATTCCTTTGATATTTCCTTTTTCATGAGGCTATTTATGGGCAGTAGACAATAGACAAATTCAAGGTCATTTTGTTATTAATATTACCAGCCACTAGTGACTCCATAAAAAATCCTAATCAACATAGACCATAAAACCATATGCATAAAGGACCTCAGAGGGAGACTTCGTGTTGTGTAGTATAACGAGAAGAGTATTGGTCATAGAGTTAGAAGCCTGAATTCAAATTCTACTTCTACTACCTTGATCATGTCCTAGAGTTCATTTGCTTGTCCATATCCCAAGTGGGATTTGTATATCCTTGGAAAGCTGTGGCTGTCATAATGTCATGACGCCTATACAAGTGTGTTAAGAACTCTATAGAAGAGAGCAGTGCAATCTGTTCTCGGCTGTCCTTATTGAATAAGTTTACTTTCACTGGTTCTTTTTTTTTTAAAAGATTTATTTATTTTAGAGGGAGAGAGTGTGTGCACAAGCAGGAGGAAGGGCAGAGGGAAAAGGAGAGAGAATGCTCAGCAGACTCTGCACTGAGTGCAGATCTTGATGCAGGGCTCCATCTGTGACCCTGAGATCATGACCTGAACCGAAATCAAAGAGGCAGCCGCTTAACTGATTGAGCCACCCAGACACCCCCCCTTGGTTTTGTCTTCTAACAGTTAAAATGAAGTGGTTTGGTCAGATGTTTGTGTAGGCAGCAGTGCTTGGGACCAGGGTTATGCAACGGACAAGGAGTGCCTCTCCTGTTTTGTGCTCTAAGCACTTTGCTTGCCACTCCTTGGTATGCGCCCCCTGGTAAGCAGCCCCAGGGATTATGGATCAATCATGAAAAATTTCTTCCTGAACCTTGTTGAGTCAGATTTTGCCTGTTTTCTGCAGTGATTTCCTGGGGGATTGATTAGCCCCAAGGATTCTAGTTCTTTCCCAGCCTCCACAAAATACAGCAATCTCTTGATAGTTTAGAAATGTAAAAAACATGAGTAAATTTGAAAAGAACTGGTGAAAGTTCTGGGACTGAATCCATGCCATGTCCTAACTCCAAGTCAGCTATCAACAGAAGTTTCCAGAGTAACTCACTGTGGCTTGGTCCTCACCTAATTTCAAGCTTCAGGTGGATGTGAAGAATGTTTGGATTGTTGGATTTCATCATGACCACAGGGAGAAGTTGCACTGAGAGCAACACATTCCTTATTTTGTCCTCTCTTCCTTTTCAGAATGATCATCAGGTCATTAGCAAGATCATTAGGAGCTTACTTTAAAAGGTTCTTCAGCAAGTCTTTGTTTAAATGGTCAGGCAACTAAAAGGAGTTCTTGCTAAAGGATAGGACATGGTAATGTTATCTGCAGGGATGGGTATATTTCCAGTCTGGAGATGAGATAAGGGAAGTGCTCCAAAAAATGCTACTTTACAAACACATGGAAACTTATAATAGCATTTTGACTTTGTGTTGGCCACTTTAAAAACATCCTTCACATCCTGAATCTCAAAGACTCTATCCTTTACTCTCTAAGCTTTACTTAGCTTGTCTGATTTCACTTGCTAATTGCTGTCACTGTTAGTGGGGGGGAAAAAAGATGCTACTATGTGGTAATTTTTTTTCTCTTCTGGCAACACACAATGAAGTTTTTTTTACTGGATTTGGCAAAGATTCTCACAAACATAGCTCAATGTGTCATACAAAGGGACAGCAGAGGAAAATACCACAAAGACATGGCACTAGCCTCATTAACAAGGAGGCATGAAAACAAAGAACACAGCTGGAAAACCATACAGTGTAGGTGAAAAGTTAAAATTAATATTGGCATGAATTTCTTTAAATATTCTTTGATACTAGATGATGAAATTATTTATGAATATGTGTTAGATGAATCATTCTTTTATGTGACATGAAAAAAAGTGTGAGCCAAGTCTTAAACGTGGTGGTAGGAGGATGAGAACACACTTGTCTATTTAATTTTTTTATTAGACCACCATCTGTGTCCATTTATGTGTCATTGAAATCACATTTACTACAGATATATGAGTTCTGAGCTAGAGCTTCGTATTTAGGACTTAAGAATATATAATTATTTTGAGATCAACAAGTGTCTATGGAACACTTCATAACTTACAGATATTTCTCATACATTATCTTGAGTTGTCAGAGAACACTATGATGTAAATAGGGATATTATCTTTATTTTATGGATTACAAAACTGAAGGTAATCTAAACTCCACAGCCTATAAAATGGAGAGCCATAATGCAAACCTAGGTCTTCTAGTAGGCCATGTTTTGAATACCTTAGTCATTAGTAGTGTATAAAGTCAATTAAAAACTTAAGAGCTATCTGTTGATTTGATAGGTACGGAAGAAAATATTTTCTCGGATCTATGACGATGTTCATATAATCCATGGGGGACTGGACAGATGGGCAAAGAGAATTGACTCATTGTTTATCACCATTTATGATAACAGCTAAAAGACATGTATCAGGTAGTGGAGTGCCTCAAATACCAAAGTCTTCTGAGCAGCGAGGGACACATCCCATACTGCAAGGTGCCTAAAGTAAGGGGTTTAAAATACCACTTAAGCTGGTGAAAGCCACCCTTCCTGATCGATAAGTTTTTGTCTTGCGGTTTTTCTTCTTTTCTTTTATTTATTTGACAGACAGAGATCACAAGTAGGCAGAGATAGGCAGAGAGAAAGGGGGAAGCTGGCTCCCTGCTGAGCAGAGAGCCCGATGTGATGCGGGGCTGTGATGCGGGGCTCGATCCCAGGACGCTTAGATCATGACCTGAGCCGAAGACAGAGGCTTTAACCCACTGAGCCACCCAGGCGCCCCCCCCTTGAGGTTTTTCTTAACAGGAAGAATAGAATACATTATGGAACACCAGAATAGTAGGAGACAACAAGGGGAGATGCTGTTACAAAAAGGAGCAGCATATGTAAATAAAATCATGTATAACATTTCATTGGAAAATGAACGTTTTCACGGGGAAGAGAATGTGGGGATTATATAAATGTGTATGTATTGGCTCACAAAATATTATGTACACAATGCTGGAATATTTATCGTCTTTGGATGGAAATTAAAACTTTATTCTATGCTTTCATCCCCCACCCCCTATCCCCTGAGCAACTGGTGTATTCCTGACAAAATGACACAAGTCTTAGTACTCCACAATTCCTTGGGATTTTTCTTGCTAAAAATTTTTGGAGCTATTGTTTCATTATAATGTTCTTGGTTTTTTTTTAAAGATTTATTTTAGAAAGAGAATGAGAGCATAGGGTGGGGAGGGGCAGAGGGAGAAGGGAGAGAGAATCCCAGCAGACTCCCTTCTGAGTGCAGAGCCCGGTGCAGGGCTCAGTCCCACAACCCTGAGATCATGACCTGAGCCGAAATCAAGAGTTGGTCATCCAAGCAACTGAGCCACTCAGGCACCCCTGTTTTGTTACGATGTTTGTATAGAATATGATTTTTAAGTCATACTTGTTTTCCATGTGAATTTTCTTTATAACAGAACACACTTCTCTTATTGAATGTTCTAAGTGCTAGAGCAGCAATTCATGGTATGTATTAGCTTAATACACAGTTATTGATGGTGAATGTCACTGTCTTTACCTTAAAAACAGAGCTTCTGGAAGAAATTCATTATGTTGTCACCATAGTAGCTGGCTACAAGATGCCCCTGTACCTGTTATACAAAATGGGAATAGTATTTAGCCATGAATCTTCAAAAGGATTAATTTTGCTTCATTGTGTAGAAAACAGTATTGGGAATAACTGAATGATGACAAGCAGACAGGGCTTATTTGTGGAGAATAATCAAAATGACATAGCTTTGCATTTTTTGTTTCTCCTCTTCCAGTAGCCTTTAGAGATTTACTTAGCCTAGAAGAAAATCCTGGGTCTCTAAGGTCTGAATCTGAAAAGTCAGTTTCTGTCTTCATTTTCTATACCTAATGGTAACTTTATGCCCTTGATGTTCTCATATCCACGAACATATAAACAGCGGCAGTGTGCCAGTTACAGTCTGTTTTTTATTAAAACGTAGCAGCATAATTTCTTTGGGTCACAGGATGTACTTGGCTCCTTTAGCCCAAGAAACGCAAACACGTTACCCCACTTACCAAGACTTAGCAGAAGGAAAGATGGTTTAGAGCCGTCACAGCAAATCTCGAAGCTCTTCGATCTGCTGCTGAACTACTGCTCCGTTGAGGCCAGTCCTAAACTTTAACTCTGAGCATACAGCTCTCTATTTTCAACCAAGGAATGAACATGCAAAGTGACAAGCCTTGTAAAGTAACTTTCTCTTAGTGTAGTGTCTGCTTTTATTTGACAGCTCCCTGGTTTATAGTTCAGGTAAAGGCACACAGTTAAAGCCAATTAATTATTTCCTTTTCTGGCCTGCATTAAATTTCAGAGTCTCTTCATTATGGCAGCATGTTCATGCCTCTGCCATTTAGATGAGGTCACCAATTTATTGTAAACCCTTATCTTCATAATTTTATAACAGTAATACAGATCTGCTTG